GGTGACGTTGGAAGTTACCTAGCTGGGGACTATTTTCAGGCGCTGCGTAATATCATTGCGCCTGCTGCACCCATGGAACAGCAGCAAAGTTCCTTGATTATTACGCCGGAATGAGAGTATAGTTCCTAGCCATATCGGCCTAGAAAATCGCAACTTTTAATTTTCCAAGATGTTCCTTTAATGTGTCTCTAAATGGCAGCCAGTGACAGGGCTATGTAGGACAGTGATTAAGTGCCTACCTGGAAGGTTAAAGAGTGTGTTGAGGATGTAGAAGCGTTCTGTGTCATCACGCTGGATAAACTTGTTGGGATAGAGCTCTCGGGTGTCAGGGCTGGCAGGGAACACAGGAACATTATGAGCACATACTTCATAGGGTTCATTAGAGTTCAGTGACCAAGACCATAAAGTCAGGGTTTGACGGGGGCCGGGATTACTCACCCTCGCAGGAAGTTAAAGCCATGGACACAGACCAGGATGTTTCCATAAGCATCTACCTTCAGGAGGTTGCCATACATGGTGTCAAACACCAGACCTCTGTAAAAACAAAAAGAAAATATAGGGTTAAATGTATTATTTACCCTATAAACATAATATAAAATTATAGTCTTGGTACTGACAACGTCTCGACAACGTGAAAATGTCTCAAATATGGTCTGCCAATGAGAGTTCATTACCTTGTAGGGAAAGTGGGGTCGTAAACAAATCCGAGCAGTTCCTGCGGGTAGCCAATGGAGACCAGCCGCTCCACAGTCAGATCAAAGCCCAACGATTCGTATTCAGGTGACTTGTATACTATTGATAGAGAGATATTCAGTAAGATATATTGAACAGGACAATTAAAATAAACAGACTACTATAAAATTCCATCTGTTAGATCATGTAGAGTCTTGTAAAATTAAGATTTTGTTCCCCATTTTAGTTCAGTTGTGGCCACATTGTTCTAATTAGTTCCCTCGTTTTAGTTTCATTGTGGCCCCTTTTTACCAATTAGTTCCTTAGATTTAAAGGTGCCATAGAATGGAAAACTGTATTTAGCTTGGCATAGTTGAATAATAACAGTTCTGTAAATGTTATGTTACAGGCTGTGCAGGGGATGTGAAGTGCAGGGATGGGTTAGTGTCTGTATTCAGAAAGGCACGGAAAGCAAATAACGCGCATTCTAATAAAATAACGTGAGCCACTAAAGGGACATGGTTAGCTGCTTGCTAGCAGTAGCCTGTTACATTACAGTACATAAGATTTCACTTACCACAAACAGAGTAAGGAGAGATGACTGAGGATGATGGTGAATTATTTACAGATCCTGAGCACCACTGACAAGCATCTGATCTTGTAAAATGTGTGGTAAGTACTGCCGCTGTGGTTTACCCAGCCCATGCGATCGCAAACAGTTTCAATGCCCCGCATATTAATTGCGGCTCCCTGATGTCCGCATTTTATATACAGTATAATTGTCCATATTAGTACCTTTTGAAAAGGTACCCTCCCAGAGACAGTTTTGTATCTTATTTTCCTCAAAGTGTGCACGGCTCTGTATTTTGTTACATGTTAAAGTATTAGTTGCCCAAACAATTCTCCCATTTACAAACTGTTGGCGCAATGATAGATATTTTTGGCTGAAATTACTGTAAAATCCCTCCAAGCTAAGTTTATTCTGGAAGGGATCTCAATAACAACTGACCCAAAATAAAATATAAAGATGCATACATGGCAGCGTAAGAGCTGTATTTAAAAACACTCTCTGGGAGTGCTCTGTAGAACAGCAACTGTGATACGTGTCGACACCAACCTTGTCCTTTCACAGAGCAAGCAAAGGGTACCAGAACATTCACATTACAAAGGCTTAGCAGGGCCATGTATGCCCTGTGATCTAATCCAATATGAAACCGGACCCACTTGCCCTAAAAGATTTAAACCCAATTAGATCCCAAGCCTCTGCAGAGTGATTTGGGTGGTATTTCAGCAACAAAAGGCATTTCGCAAGACCCTAACCACAAAATCTGTTGTTCCATCCTGACACCCAACTGAAGAAGAAATTAAAATAAGACAGACATGAATAGAACAACGGCTTCAGCAAAGATGGGGGTCACTAAACTGTATACAGACACGCCTAAGCTCACATCACATATTGTTGTGGAAGAGCTGGAAATTGTTGTTGATGAGGTGGCAGGTCAAAGGGCAGAAGCCCAGAAGGATCTCTTGAGAGTATGGAATGAGAAGGAGAGGAGTGCCTCAGAGTGAACTCCTAGGTCCATTGCTAATGAAGGCTGAGACATGTTTGACCACAACAACCTGCTTGTTTTTTTTTGCCGGAATGTTGTTTATCTGTAATAGGCTTGTGTTTGTGCAAGTCTGAACATTGTTTGTCAAGATAAGTTCACTAAAAGGACTAGCCTTATTATGTTATGGTACTTGAGAACACCTTTGTATCTGCAATTGTTCTATTTTGTGCAGTTCCTCTTCAGGAACTCGAGCTGCGTCGAAAACGCTAGGGGAACGCCTTCTGCGACCCACGCTCTGAATCACACGTGAAATCAGTCCAATAGCTGAACGGGACGTCACGGCGGATGACGTCATGACCAGGAAGCTATAAAAGCACGTGCGGCGGAGCCAGCGTCAGCTTTCTGTCATTCAGCAAAGCGCTCTGTGTGTGTCAGTCATATTTATTGTTGTCTGTCTATTGTGAGAAAAAGTCTAATAAGCAGCTATGTCTAAGGCTCACGCTAAGACAAAGCATGCAAAGGGCGAGTGCAAGCCACGTTATAGGTTGTGTGTTCCTCCCTGCCCACGTTATATCACGAGTGGGGATACACACAGCCTGTGCGTGGTTT